AAAAAAAAAAAAAAAAAAAAAAAAAAAAAAAGAAAGAAAAGAAAAACAAAAATCCGAATTTGTACTATTTGCCAGTTTCCCCGGTGTAAACACTCCCACCACGGCAGATTTCAACTTACTGGTGGTTTAACAGCAGACTCACAACACTTTCGAATATTTAATAATCGGCTCTTGCAAACCAGGAGGGGACAACTCCAGCATGTCCTCAACAGTCCTGCCCCAGAAAATCCCCAAATCACACCCCGGGTAAGTACCACTTTCAGCTTCTCAGTCAGAAGGAGAAGTGGTTACTGTATGACCGGATTGTTATGACTAATATCAAAGTGCCGAACGTGGAAGGGCACGACGCAGGGGGTGAGGTTTTGTTTGCCAAATTGGAGGAGTCTTCATTTCTCAATCTTGGTCTCCTCTCCTTCCCTGGGCTGGGGCGTCGGAGGGAGCCCCATCCACAGAGCTTCTCATTGGCCTCATAACAGAGACGCACGTAAGACTTCTCTGCCCGCCTCCACCCCCCCCCCGCCCCCGCCCCAGAGCTCCCCCAAACTTGCTCTCTCCTTTAAAACCCCAGGACCCTATGCTAGAGAACAGAATGCTCCTTCTTTCATTAGATAAGTTAAAAATGGAGGGTTTGGAAGCCATTCCGGATTCTGGGTTCTGCCTTTTGGTTTGGAAGGTGCTTAAAAGCTTTTTCTTAAAAAGCTGGACACAGAAGGCGTGCCTGGGTGGCTCAGTCAGTTGAGTGTGAGACTTCAGCTCAGGTCACGATCTCAAGTTTTGTGACGTTTGTGAGTTCAAGCCCCGTGTAGAGCTCTGTGCTGACAGCTGGGAGCCTGGAGCTTGCTTCAAATTCTGTGTCTCCCTCTCTCTCTCTCTCTCTCTCTGCCCCTCTGCCACTTGTGCTCTCTCCCTCTCTCTGTCTCTCTCTCAAAAACGAATAAAAATGTTAAAAAAAAAAAAAAAGCTGGACTCGGAAGGATTCTGTAACCAAGACCTAAAAGCTGAACAGCCTGGACTGATCTTTCCTTGATTTTTAAGGAGACTGGAGAATGACAGGCTGTGGGGGCAGGTAGTTTTCATAAAGTTGAGCATGACCAAATTTGCCCACCATCGATGATCACACAACTCTTCCCCTTTAGGCCCTGGGGATGCCATTGGACTGAGCGCAGGATGGTGACCTACTTTTCTTCCCAAAACATTGGGCGGCCAGTTGCATTTTCCGATCTAAAACTCACCCACACTGCTACAGTTTCTGTTCCCCTCTGCTCCTGCTCCTGGGTGTGCTTCTGGCTGGAGCTGCTTTTGTAAAGTGGAGTTTATCATGGGAGTCCTCCTCCAAGAGGCTGGTCTGAAAGCCCCAACCCACATCCCTCCCAGACATCAGCATGGGCACTCCAGCTGCACAAATCCTGGCAGGTGTATGAGAATCCAGGTTTGCCCCGTCTCAGCCAGGGAAGTCAGTTAAAGAAAAGTCTCATTGGAAATGGCCTTGAATCTGGAGCCTCTCTAGTATTCTAATCACTCACAGTTAGTCAGCTAATGAATATTTATCAAAGGTCTCTGGAGGGGTTCAGAAGGTGCCACCCCAAAATATGCCACTTTTAGTGATTATTTTGAACTGAAGTCACTTGAGAAACAGCAGATGCAGGAAGGGCTCTCTGACTCCCCATCCCCCTCTTTTTACTTTCTTTCTTCTTTTTTTTTTTTTTTTTTTTTTTTTTAACCTAAAGCAGGTCATAAAATTTCTCTGAGAAAGGTGACTTTCACCCCTGTCTCACCAGAGGCTGGAAGAAGATGCCAAAAAGAACCCATACAAACAAACCTGCTATAAGATAACACTTATCTTTTATTGGTTTCCCCCATACATTTCCTAGTCACCGGCCCACAATATACTGCCCCTGGACCCAAGCCCCTTTATCTTATCACATCCCCACAGTGTGCTGGGGCCTAACAGCTTTTTGAGGTCCTCATTTTCCTTTTGAAAACTCCTGTGAACATGTAAAAATATGAAATAAAATTTGTATGCTCTTCTCTTGTTAATCTGGTTTTTTTTTTAATTTTTTTTCAACGTTTATTTATTTTTGGGACAGAGAGAGACAGAGCATGAACGGGGGAGGGGCAGAGAGAGAGGGAGACACAGAATCGGAAACAGGCTCCAGGCTCTGAGCCATCAGCCCAGAGCCCGACGCGGGGCTCGAACTCCCGGACCGCAAGATCGTGACCTGAGCTGAAGTCGGACGCTTAACCGACTGCGCCACCCAGGCGCCCCTCTTGTTAATCTGTTTTATGTCAGTTTAATTCTTAGGTCCAGCCACAGAACCTAAAAGGGTAGAGGGAAGTTTTTCCTCTCCTCCATCAACTATGGAGATAATGGTGAACAAGGCAGAGTCTCTGCCCTCATGAAGCTTACTGTCCAGTTTACAAGGAAATCACTCTGTACACAAGTAACTTGAGATAATCCGATAATGACAACAAGGGTGCTGAGTGCTTTAAAGAAGAAGCCCGAGGTGCAATGAGAGCGTAAGACAGGGAGGCTAATGCAGGCTACAGGACCCAGGAGATTTCTGGGGAACTGAGGCTGAAGCTGAGATCTGAGGGATGGTTCAGATCCAGGAGGACATGAGATCCTCTGGGACAAAGAATTTATGCTTCAGAAACATTCTCTTGCTGAGGATGAACTTGGGAATTTAGATAGGAACTTCTTTCCTTCATAGATAGTGTGGTGGTAGAGACCACTGTTTGCCCTCAACATTCTTTCTTCTTTTCTTCATAACAAATCCCCAGGTTTTACTAGGTACATAACTACCCAGAGAAAGGATTACATGGCCACCTGCCCAATAAGATGTAGGCAGAAGTAACGTATGGGGTCTCTGAGACCTTTTTTCTGCTACCTGGTATCTGGAGGTGATGGCTGGCAGCTGAGCAGCCATCAGGGACCACGAGGAGACATGGCTAAAAGTTAAACAGTGTATTAAGTGGAGCTTTGTTCCCTGATGACCATGAGACTGTCATACACCATATCAGCCCTGGATCGCCTACCTCCAGGCTTCTTTTATGTAAGGGAGAAATAAAGGTCAATCAAATAAATAAAGCCTCTATTATTTTCAGATTTTCTGTTACACAAAGTCAAACACAATCCCAACGACTACACACAATTTCCTTTCAGCCTAATGAAGAGAACATTTATCTGCACAACTCACAAATTACCTAGCTTACAGAAAAGCCTGTAATAATAACAAATCTCTTTTGTCCCCTCCTTGGTCTCCTGGTCCTTCCCTTGCCCCTGCACCTCCTCTGTCTCCTAACTCCCACACCAGAGCTAGGCCTGACCTCAGAATTTCCACCTCCGTGAATGACAGCTTCACAGCCCAAAGCTTCTTGAGCTCCTGCTACCTTCCCTTAGTGGCTGCCTGGTGAGAGTCCTGCTGTAGAGAGTCACATCAAGTCCAGGGAGGCCTCCAGCCTTCAGGCTCTTCTCCCCACCCTTCCCAAAGAGGTATAAAGAGTTAGAATAAGAGGGAAAAGCTGATAACATGCACCAACTTGGAAAAATCACAAAAATGATCAGAGGTGCTTTAATGGAACCTCCCTGCATTGGGCTTTTCAAGCAGTGTGGGCTTTAATCAGTCTGTTGCCCCAGCCTCTGGCTAACTAAGTCCATGCGGTCAAGACTCAAAGGGAGAAAGTCAGTGTGTCTGCTTATAAACTCAGGTCTGTCAGGGTGAGTGCACACCTCACATGTTGGGTCAGATGAGATGAGGGCTTGTGTGAGTTAAATTGTGAACCCGGCATGTGCGCGCGCGCACACACACACACACACACACACAAATATGTTGAAGTCTTAAATCCCGCTATCTCAGAATGTGGCCTTATTTGGAGATAGAGTCTTAACAGAGGTCATCACGTTAAAATGAAGTCATTAAGGTAAATCCTAATCCAACAAGTTTTGTGTCCTTATAAAAAGGGGAAATTTGGAGACAGACAAGCACCCAGGGAGAACACCAAGGCAGAGACAGGGTGACGCTTCTACAAGCCACGGGTGCCAAAGATCACCAGCAAACCACCAGAAGCGAGAGGAGGGACATGGGATGGATTACCCCTCACAGCCCTTGGAAGGAACCAACCCTGCTGACAGCCCTTTATGGAACTTCTAGCTTCCAGAACTGTGACACAACACGTTTCTGTTGTTTAAGTCACACAGTCTGTGCTCCTTTGTTAGGACAGCCCAAGCAAACTAATATAAGGTCCCTTAAGTGCCAACTAGCAGGGGAGTTTGGGGATAGCCACTGGTCTCAAATGATTTCCCTGCTGTCTCACATTGGGATATGAAGAATGAGAACAGCTGAAGTTTCTCTTGGCCATTCTTCTGAACAGCGAAACCCAGGTGGTCTCTCCACCTGCAGACAACCAGGGGCATAGTGAGTGGGGCCAACTCCTTCATAGGAAAAGCCTTTCTGCTCACCTCCTGGAAATCATGTTAAATACAGACACTTCCCAGGAATGAAAGGCTGCTGTTGACTGGAGAGGTCTGTCGGTGAATCTATCTATCTTTCATCTATCTCTATAATCTATTTTTTTTTCCTTTTCTTGGCAGAAAATCAATGTCTAGATGGGTGGGAAAAGTAGTGCAGTCTCTTCAGATCCCAACTAAAGACTGTCTGTGTTGAACAATTCTTGGATATGCACAAACACACACATGAAAAAACTGTATGTGGTCTCAGCTGCCCCTGTTCCCCAAACTTTGCCATCCACGTGGGAGCTTGGAAGGCAGAAGGGATGGGGGAAGAGAGACCAAGGCTATCTGAAGGCTCTGTGGAAGCAGACCAGTGGCCCAAGTGGCCAGCAGCTGGCTCCTTCCATCTACTCACTTTATGCATCTCATATCAGGCTGATTTGAGCACATGGGGCATTTTGTTAAGCAGGGTGAGGACTTGCTGCTACTAAGCATTTCTTATTCTGCCAATTTCTTATTCTGCCAATTTCTTATTCTGCCAATTTCTTATTCTGCTGACTTCTTATTCTGCCGATTTCTTATTCTGCCAATAGCTCTATACTTTTATTATTTTCTCTTACCATAACCAGATGTTAACCCCATTTTCAAGAGGCTGAATCTGAGACCCAGCAATTTACCCAGGGGGGTGGCTCTGTGCCCAATGTCCACAGCGTGTTGGCTATGAAGGTCCCAGAAATTTGTGCTCGGTGGGCATAGAGACTGTCTCCTGGGGGAGGAAATGCATATTTCCTTTCTGATTTGTTCAGCAGTAAGGCCTTGGGTTGATTTTCTAGAGTTGGCCATAAAGAAGATGATGATGATGACAATGAGGCAAAGGCATGTGGACGTGGATGGCAAGCCATTTGCAGAATGTGTACAGAAGCCTATGCTGCATGGTAGGCTCATGGAGAACACAAATGCATGCCTTGCTTTAGGGACCTGATGTCTAAATGGGCAGGTCAAACAGAACTCGTGTGAAACAAGTTGACGATCGATATTTCTCCAAGCTCGAGGTGACTTTATTTAGGATTTGCTGATACTAAAAACAGAGACCCCTCCAACCACTCAAGAAAATAGGGACTTATTGTAAGACTCCATGTGTGTGGCACTGGAAGTAAGATAGAGGTGAGGCATGGCAAGTTCCCTCTACCTCTCTCTCAGCAGGCCCCGCCCTCTCTCATGGTGTCCCTGCTCTGTGCGTCTGCTCCTCTCTCTAAGGCCACCTCCTCTGTTCCTGTGGCTTCAGCTCTCTCCTAACCTCAGCTTACTCAGCCAGAGCTTCCAGCTGCTCTGACTCTACCTCGAGCCATCCTTTCAGCCTTAACTACCCCCTCGAGTGGTATATTCCTTCTTGTTTGGTAGTTCCTTCTGTATTAGATTGGCCCAACCCCTAGGCCTCTGTGAGCCTATATTTTGACTATCCTTCTGTCACTTGCCATCCCTGAAGATCCAGTCAGCTGTGGCCAGGAGTAGGGGATCACAAGACCACCTAAAGGGCCATGGGCAGATAGACACCTAAAACCAATCCAGTATGGGGGCTGTTGATGATAAAGTCTATAAAAGGTCATGGAAAAGAGAAATCCCTCTGAGCCAGCGAGAATAAGCAGGACAGTGAGATGGCTGAGGTTCCAACACATGAGATTTGGGTCCTGGAGAGAAGAGGAAAGCTCAGGTACAGGAATGAGTACCACAGGAGACTGCAGTGGTGGTCACGATCATTTGTCCTTTCCCTGTGAAAGGATTATACCTCCCTACCTAGATGACATCAGATTTGTGTGATGCTTTTGCCAATGACATGTAAAAGGGATGTATGCCATTTCTAGGCAAAAGCTTTGATCATCATAGCATGGTCCACTGTGCTCTCTTTTCCCTTTGCCCTGAAAACAACAGAGTCCCAAACAGGGAATGTTCCATTCACTTAAGTCCCAGGATGACAACAACTGGGAGCAGTGCCGGAACAAGTCCATGATGGATCTATAATGTAAATAAGACGTAAGCCTTTATCGTGTGAAGCTTGAGATTTTGGAGTCATTTGTTCCTGCAGTGTAGCCTAGCCTATCTTGACGGATACAAAGATCACATTGTGTTCAAATAAATGGGAGAGAGAGCATTGGAAGTGAAGAGGTGATGAGAAGCAGGGACAGGAATCCAGATGTCAGAGAAGGAAGACTTGCAGTGGGATAGCATGCGAAGATCTGGAAAGAATAAGAGGACTTCAAGAGACATTTTGAAAGAACATGTACCAGGTGTGGGGAGCAGTTTGGAACAGGGAACGAAAGAAAGGGTAAAAAAAAAAAAAATGTTTTTTTAAGTTTATTTATTTATTTTTGAGAGAGAGAGAAAGAGAGTGTGAGTAGGGGAGGTGTAGAGAGAAGGAGAGAGAGAATCCCAAGCAGGTTCCACACTGTCAGTGCAGAGCCTGACTCAGGGCCAGAACTCACAAACCATGAGTTCATGATCTGAGTTAAAATCAGGAGTCGGTCGCTTAACAAACTGAGCCACCTATGCACCCCAAAATTAAAAAAAATTAATGTTTATTTATTTTTTAGAGAGACAGAGAGGGAGACACAGAATCTGAAACAGGCTCCAGGCTCTGAGCTGTCAGCACAGAGCGGGATGCAAGGCTTGAACTCAGAATGGCGAGATCATGACCTAAGCCGAAGTCAGACGCTTAACCAACTGAGCCACCCAGGCACCCCCCCCCCAATTTTTTTAATAGATAAAAAAATGTATCCCTTATTTACTAGCTAACAATGGGAGTTGGAACCATTTTGAGAGAAAGATGTCCTTTTGAAAAATTGAACTTAAGGTAGGATGGACATCTAGCTAGTGATTTCCAGCAGGTACCTGGGAATGGGGTCAGGGCTGGAGATAGACATTTGAGAGTCATCAGCAGAGGTAAGAGAGTTGGGTCACTGAGTTTTTGGCAACTGGTCTTTTGATCTATAAATGTAGCAGGTTGTGAGAAATGGAACACAGACGCCATGTTGAAGAGAGAAAGCAGCTCTAAACAGAAGAAGGAGGGGGGCACAAAAACCCTTCCAACAGCATCAATTCCCCGCCTTCATTTTGAAGAAAGCACATATTTGCTTTTTCTCGTGCTTCTAGAGGTCACCCAAGAACTGGCCACTCTCTGACTTTCTTATAGAATCTCTCTTTGACTAGAATGGTCTTCCCAGAACCCTAAGATTCTGAAAAAGTACATCCAGAAGTTCCCATGGTGAGACTCTCATGATGGTAACAGCATGGACATAATTTCATTTAATCCTCCTTGAGACCAGTTGCCACTGTGTGAGAGGCACAATTGTACCCATTGTTCCTGTTGGCGGAAACTGACTTCTGGCTCCAACTTCTTCATTTTTTTCTACTTCCTGGTCTCCTTTAAGAGACTACGGAACAGCTGGAGAGACAAGGTTGTTGGCTCAGAAACAATAGTTCTGAAAATGCCTCCAGCCCTCCCCCAGCTGCACCAAATGAACTTGGCATTATTATGTACAGTAAGACACCATGGCATTGCACAGGCTCTGTGCCAGCTCTCATTGTCTCTGACTGACCTGGGAGAGCCGGTCAGGCCCACCTCTCTGGCTTGCCTGCTTGAAATGCTTCTTGAAACGAAGTTAACAGCTGTATTCTTGTTGTA